CGCCCGGGCGAGGCTTCCCGCGGGAGGCGGCCGCGAAGAGGCCGGGGAGGGGGCTTTGCGCCTCTCCGCGCGCCTCTCCGCTCCCCCTCCCGACCCGCTGCGAGCGTGGCCTGGGAAGCGACAGCGAGGGAGGTCCTGCCAGCCGGTCCTGCCGCGCCGTGTGGCAGTGGAGGGCGCCGAGCTCCGCGGGCAGCCAGGCTCCTGGGCAGGGTGCGCCGTTCACCCTTCCCATGTCCCGCTGGTTGCGCCTGCCCGCCCTCCTTGCTCGGCGGGCAGCTTGAACCCCTGGGCAGGTTCCGCCCTCTTCCCTGCTCTCAAACTCGCAGTAGGGTCGTAGTTTGCTCTTGCTTCGTATGATATATATTCCACTGTTTGGGAATGGTTCTTTTGGCGAGGAGCTCCAGAGGGTTCGCTTCACCATCCTGTTCCCCTGCATTTTGTCCACCAAGAACCTTGTGAGTCAGTGAGTGGCCCAAAGTTTCCTAGCAGGCTTCGTGCCCGAGTGAGGACTTAAAATCCAGTCCTCCTGTGGCCCCGTTGAGCACTCCGACTACTGCACCAGCAAGTTGATGCCTTTCTAGCGTGCGGGTTTGTATTGCGTACATCTGCAAACCTTGGGCATTTCCAAGCTTGCTAGTCTGCCCCACCTCTTTGTATGGGTGCCATCCTGCCTACAGGGGGCGCCAGGACCGTGCAGAGCCAATGCGGAGTAGTGGTTAGGAGCAAGCGACTGGACTCTGGAGATCTGGGTTCTAGCCCCTGCTCAACCATGGAGCCAACTGGGTGACTTTGGGCCAGTCGCAGACTCTCGGCCCAGCCTACCTCACAGGGTTGTTGCTGTGAGGACAGAATGGAGCTCTGTGAGCTCTCCTGGGCTCCTCACAAGAATTATAAGGCAAGCTATAAATGCCATAATATGAATGCTTGGCAAACGAGCCTATGAAGAGCCCTGATGAAGGATTGGCCCCAACATCCCTGTTCACGTGGTGACTGAGCAGCTCCCTACAAGACATCCACGACCAGGGTGCCAGCACCCTCCTGCCCGTGTGCCCCAGCAATTGAAGTGCGTGGGCACTCCACCTCTGAAAACGGAGTGCCATATACTGCCAGGATAAGTAGCCATCAGCAGCTTTATCTTCATGCATTTTGGTCTTACCCCCATTTAAACCTGTGGAAAAGGTTCCTGCATTGAGGCACAAAGGGAATTACCCTGGTTGCTCTGGGGTGGGGAGTGGGCAGTGAGCCATAGAACTTGCTTGTCCTTCTCCCCCTCCTGTTTTCTTCTTCCCCGTCCCGTTTTCAGTGGCGGGTTCTTGGCCTGCTCTAAATGAAGCCACAGGAGCAAAAGAAAGGGGTCTGTTAAATTCAGATGTTCTAAGTTGATCACACCATACAGCAGGGCTTCCTTTGGCTGGAGCCTTCTAGATGATTTGGAGTACCGCTGCAGCCATTCCCGAGTGTTTCCCGTGCTGGCTGTGGCTCATGGGAGTTGTGGCCGAGACTGGCGAACACTGCCTTACAAAAAGTTACCTTGTCCAGAGCTTCTTGGTACCTGTCTTTCCCTTCCTTTGCTAGCCTTTGGCCCGAGGAAAAGCACAAATGCTTACAGAGCCGTGGTCCCTCTTGTTGCTAGGGCATTTATTATTTATTTGTTTGTTTATTTATTACATTTGTATGCCATCCCATAGCCCGAGGGCTCTCTGGGTGGCTCACAAGAACAGCATACAGCAGCCTAAACCACAGATCCATAACGAGATTAAAACTATAACATCCAATATAGCATAAAATCCAATTAATATAGATTACAGAACAATGCACAGGACAGTATTTTTGCAAGCAGCAAAAATAACATAATAACACCAAAATGTGGCTAAAAACAAATAGTAATTAAAAACGTCTGGCTGGCGAAGGAAACTGAGCAGTGAGGGTGCCGGTTGCCTGTCCTTGGGAAGACGCATCTGCAAGGGAGGTGCGATAGCGGAAAAGGCCCTTTCTCTTGCCATTCCCCCTTGCCCCATGGGCAGGGGGGTCACGAAGGAGGGCCTCCACTGAAGATCCCATGGTCTGGTAGGGATATTTGGAGACAGGCTTCCTTCAGCTTTCCGGACCCAAACCCATTTAGGGCTTTGCGTATTAACGTATGTTAACTTTGAAGTGGGCCCGGGGACAAGGAGCACCGGCAGGATGCCCTCTCTAGGACCAGTCCTGATTCACAGCTGCGCTGCTCTGTTTTGAGTGAGCTGGGTGCCCGGACTGTCTTCAAAGGCAGCCCCACGTGCAGCGCATTCCTGTAGTCCAGGGGAGAGGTTGCCGGCATGTGGATCACTCTGGCAATGCTCCACTCGGATGAATGGAATGTTGCTGAGAAAGCAACCTGAGCGGAGAAGAGGTGCTCCTGGCCAGCCAGGTCCCTGTGAGACAAGCGGCAGCTCGGGGTCCCCAACTTTCAGGGGACAAGCCACCTTTTTTCTCCATGGCTTGTGTAGGTGGCGGTTGCAGCAGTCTGGCCAACAGAAATGGAGCGGCTGGATTTCACCAACCCTTTCATGGAAAGCTTTCGACCCCCTCTAGAGCATGTCTGGAAGCAGGAATTGCGAATCGAGCAGCGATCCTGGATCTGTGTCATGCTAGGATGTCTGGTTAGGAAGTCTGGGTACCTCTGGTTTAGGGGAATTGAACGCTGAGACGTCAGGCGGTGCATTATGCGATACACACCAGTGACTGGAGTTAAGGGAAGACTATGGGGTAACACCACATGCCGCTTTTCCTAAATGCTATCTTTTTCCTCCCATTCAGACATGATGCCTCCCAAAAGGTGTGCAAAATACAACCTCCCGGTTCCTCTTCCGGAAGGAATAATCCTGAAAGATACTGAGAAAAGAGAGTGGAGACTGGGCCCTTTGATTGCCCAGGGAGGATTTGGGCTCATCTACTTAGGTAATGTATATTTTGTAACCAGGGCAAATGCAGGTTAAAACTTAAGGAAGAAAATAATTTGGGGGAGGGACATAGTGGCAAAACCCATTACAGGGGGCGGGGAACAAGGATTTTGCTGTGCATGGAAGTGAGGGAAAGTTGGGATGGAGAACCTGTGGAGTAGCAGGAAATACTTCGGAGAGGGGAGTTTGCAGCTCATTGTAACTGGAAAAGTGGTGCATCTTGCTGTTCCGTTTTGGCTGGGGAGGGACAAAAGGCAGCATTCTGGCACAGCTAATAAAAGTTGGACTGAGCCTCTGCATGTGCCCCCCCCCCCCCGCCTCTCCCCTGTATTTAGCTCAGAACAGTAATCCAGATTAGTCCCATGGACAAAGCTTGAGCGGGGAAAGATTGGCTTGGTATAAATGATTTATCATGCTGTTTGCTGTTGATCGTATTGGTATCCTGCCTATCTTTCCAAGATTGCCATCAATGGGGATTAGCTAATTCTGTCCTCACAAGGACCCTGTGGAGCAGAGTTAGAGCAAGCCTGGCTAAGGTCGCACATTGAGCTGTGTGACTGAACCACGTTTCGACCTCAGGTCTCCCCAGGGCATGTCAAGCACCCTTTGCATTAGACCGCACTGAAGTTCACAGAGCCAAGATCTGTCTGGTCCAATGTTTGTTTCCACAGGACCCTGCGTGCAGGAAGGAGAGCAACAGCGTCCCCCTGTCCCAGTGCCCCAGGAACTGGTGCCCATTGGCATATCCCCTCTGGTAGCAGAACCTTGAGGACTAGTAGCCACAAATTACCTTCTCCTCCGCCTCCTTTTGAAGCTGTCCAAATTGGTGGACATCACTTGTGAGTTCCACAGGTTAACCCCACTGGTGAAGAAGTCCTGAATCTCATACCCTTCAGCTTCATGGGATGAGCCGGGTTCGAGTTTTAGGGGAGAGGCAGCGAAATGCCTCCCTTTCCACTTTCTCCACACTGCATATAATTCTGCAAGGTTGGAGATGCTCTCCGTAGAAGCTGGTCCTTCAGATGTCCAGTCCTGAACTGTTATTTCAAGGCAACCATTATCAATTTGCACTCTGCTCGGAAATGGACCGGCAGTCAATATTTCCACTTAAGCACTGATGAGATAAATACTGTAAAGCAGTTCTTACTTTGTAGGTGAATGGCTGCATTTTAAAATCTGGCATTTTTGAGATATCCTTAAAGGCTGCACCACATTCCAGCCTACTCTGGAAATTATTCGTGGTCACAGCAGACTCTCTGTGGTGAGAAAACGCATCGCATGGCCTGCAAGGGATGTTGCTGGATTAATTAACAGGAACCCAGATGATGAACCTAAAATAGGGGAGGCAACCAAGTTCCCTACAGATGTTTCAGACTGTATTTCCTATAACATCTGGCCACTCTTTCTAGTGGGGGACTTAGGGAGGGTGTAATCCAAAACAGGTTACCTACCCATCTTTTAGGAAGACTTAGGCCCTCCCCAGCGAGCAGTGAATGCCATATCCTTGGTCAGATGATAGCTTCATTCTGGCTTACGATTTCTGCATATTGTGCTTCATCCAGTCTTTGCTGATTGTAGGCAGCCATTCAGCACCTTCTCTGTTACAGATGGCCAAGGAGGAGTCTGGAATGGCCCCAGGGTGCTGACAGAATACCACTCTCGATCTTTGAATGACCATCTTGTTGTTTAGTCACAAAGTTGTGCCTGACCCATCACGACCCTATGGACAACATTCCTCCAGGCTCTCCTGTCCTCCTCCATCCATCGGAGTCCACCCGAGCTCACACCCACTGCCCCAGTGACTCTTATCTAGCCACCTCAAACTCTGCTGTACCCATCTCCTCTTGCCATCAATCATTCCCAGCATCAGGGTCCTCTCCAGGGAGTCTTTCCTTCTCATTAGGTGGCCAAAGTATTTGAGTTTCATCTTAAGTATCTGGCCTTCTAAAGAGCAGTCAGGGTTGATCTCCTCTAGGACTGACCGGTTTGATCGCCTTGCAGTCCGAGGGACTCGCAGGAGTCTCCTCCAGCATGACAATTCAAAGGCCTCAATTCTTTGACGCTCAGCCTTCCTTATGGTCCAACTTTCACAGCCATACATTGCAACTGGAAAAACCATAGCCTTGACTATACGCACTTTTATTGGCAGGTTAATGTGTCGGATTTTTAGTATGCATAGCTTTCCTTCCAAGGAGCTACCTCTATTTCTTCCCCATCTATTTGCCGGGAAGTAAGAGGACTGGATGCCATGATCTTAGGTTTCTTAATGTTGAGTTTCAAGCCAACTTTTGCACTCTCCTCCTTCACCCACATCAGGAGACTCTTTAGTTGCTCTTCACTTTCTGTCATTAGAGTGGGGTCATCTGCATATCTGAGGTTGTTGATATTTCTCCCAGCAATCTTAATTCAAACTGGAGATTCATCTAGTCCCACCTTTCTCATGATGTGCGCTGCATATAAGTTAAATAGGCAGGGCGACAGTATACAGCCTTGCCGAACTCCTTTCTCAATTTTGAACCAATCAGTGGTTCCTTGTCCAGTTCTCACTGTTGCTTCTTGACCCGCATATAGGTTTCTCAAGAGACAAATAAGATGGTCTGGTACTCCCATCTCTTTAAGAACTTGCCACAGTTTGTTGTGATCCACACAATCAAAGGCTTCAGCATAGTCAATGAAGCAGAAGTAGACGTTTTTCTGGAGCTCCCTAGCTTTCTTCATGATCCAGCGTATGTTGGCAATTTGATCTCAAGTTCCTCTGCCTGTTCGAAACCGTTCTGGTAGTTCTTGTTGAATGACCTTGCTTGGCTTATATTGGAGCATGGAAGAAAATGGGACTTCCTTTGGTACCCAGTGCTGCAAATGCCCCTGGCTGAGCTGTGGTCCCGTCTTCCGGAATCAGCCATGCAAGCTGGAACTCTCCCACATCTGGAAGGTTAGCATGACTGATCGCTGAGATAAACAGCCATTGTAAACTCTGCTGCATTGCAGACCAGAGGTAGCTTTTATTTTGTTATCTCCTCCTTGATAGATCCAGATTTTGCACAGATGTGTCCATATGCAAATCCCCTCTGCCCCAGCATACACCATTACTGAAAAATGTATTTTCATGCTTAGCTCAGCGGGGGGAATTCACTTTTTAGTCCCCCCACTGTATTTTCCTATAGCTAAATTTGCATAAAACTAAAGTTAAAAAATGCAGTGTGTGTGATTCAGGAAGAGCTGATTAGCTGCTGCATCCACAGGTCAGAACCTTAGAAGCATGAATTCGTTTGACTCCACTGGGTTGGCTCCGTGGCATTGTGCTGAAACAGCCTCCCAAACCAGTACCTTCTAGATGTGCTGGGCTGCAGCTCCCATAACTCCCAACGAGCATGGCCTTTGGCTAGGAATCCCAGGAGTTGCAGGCCAACGCATCTGCGGGGCAGTGGGTTGGGAGAAGATTCCTTGGAGTTCCTCCCAGCTACCTTGCCGCCACTGTCTGAGTGGAGACTCTTGGACTGCATGGGCCTCTGGCCTCATCCTGCAAAGTTGCTCTTATGGAACAGTCGGGTTCTACAGCATCGAGAAATGATGCTGATTAGCACAATTGCTTTTCTGTTTCATTTTGCATTTCTCATATTTTGCATAATTTATTTTAGTCTTTCAAGTTGCCGGGGGTGGGCATGCAAAACTCTGCTCCCAGTCCTTGGAAATTTTACACTGCCAAGCTTCTGGGATTTGGCAAGCACTTCCCATGCCCTTCCAAGTTTTTCTAACCATTAGTACACGCTGTCTCTCAGAGTTTCTCTGCTTGCTTAGGAAAGACTTCACTCCTTTCCTAATATGTACCACTGCCAAACTGGTGTTGGGTTCCATGCTTTTGACTTTATTTTTTATATTAATAATTGCTTCGTTTGATCTTACTCTTCTGGGTATTTATGTGTCTTTCGTTATAGGTGTTAATACTTCTGGCAAATAGTTACATCTCTTCACAAAGCCTACGAGTTTTAAACCAAAAACTGCAATTTTCAGGAAGTTGGATTCAGCGCCCCGTATCACGTCCTGCCCTGCTTCTGCTGGGGTGCAGAGTCGTGGCACTTCTGCAGCCCTGGGTATTTTGCAGGGAGAGTGGAGGTAATCTGCTTCATTAGTGCACCAGATTAAGGAGACCAGCAGCATGTGGGTTTGGAAGAGGAATCCACAGATGTTTTGGTCTTGGGAGTCTGTAAGGAGATGTGCTGTTCTCCAGGCTTACCCGTTCCCTCGGTTGGCATCGAGTTAGAGCCCTTGCTGCGCTGTAGAGGAATACCTTCTGAACTTGTCTCTTCACTGGCGTCTGGGCCTTGCTGAAACTGGCAGGCCACCTTCTGGATGGGCACAGAGACAGGAAAGCAGATGGTCAGGAGCTGAGCCATGCCAGAAGCTGCCATGCATAGCGCCGTTAAGCATTCCAAAGCCCAGAGGGACATCCAGAAATGCTGAAGCCCATCACTTTTGCTCCTAAGGTTAAAGTCAGCTCTGAAAGTCAAACATTAGTTTCCGTAGCTGAAAGAGCCAGCTGGGTGGTGAGTGTTTAGGACACTAATGCTGGGGATCTGGAAATAAATGCTGGCAGTGTTCTGCTCTCTGGGCTCAACCGAGGCCCTGCCTTGGCTGTGCAGTATGGAATTAATTTAGGGATGGGAATAAGATACTGGTGGGGTATACGCTTCCATGTGCAGTACCCTTCATGGTCTCGGTCTGCTTTGGAAGAGCATTCATCCATATGAATCTGCCTAGGCTTCAAGGGTATCTTTGGAGGCCTCCCTTGCTTTCTGTCCTCTTATGGTTGGAACGGTGGTTGGTAGATACCAAGGCAGACCTTCTCCCTGGTGGTGCCAGAGATTTGGAACACTGATGCTGGTGAAAATTGCCGCTTAGTCTCATCCCTTTTACTTTGTGCTTGCGCATTACAGGTCTCACCTGGAACTGTCCCTCGTTCATGGGATTTTACAACAATGGTCCCAACACTGCCGTCTT